GAGTTGTGTTTTGTTTCATTCACACATTTAACACACAACACCACACTGAAAACATGCTGAAAACACTTGCTGAAAACACATGTAATGTCATGTGGTAATACAGGAAATGCTCCACTGTGTTTAAACTTCACTAGAATCACGTGGATGATTTCAGCTCTGAAGGTAAAAGGAGTTATTAACTTGACATCACAAGGTGGAACAGAGCGTTGTGAAGTTTGGAGATGTAGACAGACTAATAATAAAAGCCGTTTTTGAGGAGGTAACAGTGTTATAAGACGACTGAAAGCTCACAAGAGTCAGTTTTGCTTAATATAGAACCTTTAACCCAACAGAAGTATGGCTGCTGAGGAAAGTAGTTCGGCAAGTTGTGTGGGGACTGTATACTAAAGCGTTTTTCTTCTCAAAGCAATATGTGTTCAAAAGAGTGATACATTTGCATCACAAAACCACCGTCGCCAAAAAAGTCAGACCTCATAATCGCTTGGCACTATTTTCTTTCTGTTCGTATCACTGCGCGCTGCCGCCAGGTGACAGCCGCGCACGGATCCATCACTTTCTTCAGTTGTTCGGCAGTGTTTACATGTACAGACTGTCGCCACACGAGAGAGCTAACGAGAGAGCTAGAGCCAGAAGTATATGAGCCTGGTTCACTTTGTTTACTGGTCGGAATGTTAGCGACAACATGTCTGATTATGACACCGACAATAAAGACTTTGCCTTTACCACAAACCCAAGGGGAGATCTTTGTGAACCCGAATATACTGATGCCGAATTTCACCAGAAGGAGTTAGAACGAGCAGAGAGAGAGAGAAAAGACAGAGAAGTGGTACAAGTTGAAGCTGGAGCCGTGAGAGACCGAGTGAGCTACAATCACCATCACGTCATTTATAAACTCGTATACAGTGAACATAGAGCCTATACTGTGGCTGAAGCATGGACGACTAATAGAAACATAGAATCATTCACACGTCCACGTAGCTGCTGACAACAGTGTAAGAGACAGTTACAATAGTTATAACAGTCTATTTATAAAGTTACGTTTTGTAGAAGCTTCACTGGTGATATGACACTGAGTGATTTACTGCACACAGAGTTACAGCTGATTCTTGAGTCTGTTCTCTTGTAAACGTAGCGGCACTTCTTCATTCTTACCTGGTTTGGTTTCCACATTGAAGCCAAAGGCAAGAAGCCAAAGTTTCCTCAGCGCAAAGTCCGTGACATGAAAACAGTGAAATGTGTGTGGAGATTCAGCCAGATTTTTGTTGTTACAGCCTGGATAATCAAGAGTTCGCACCATTTTTTAGATATATTCATATGTGTATCTTTATACAAGCTCATATACTTATGGCTCTAGCTCTCTCGTTAGCTCTCTCGCGTGGCGGCGTCTGCGCATGTAAACACTGCCGAACAACTGAAGAAAGTGATGGATCCGTGCACAGCTGTCACCTGGCGGCCGCGGGCAGTGGTACGTACGGAGAGAAAATAGCGCCAAGCGATTATGAGGTCTGACTTTTAGAGGACGATGGTTTTGTGATGCAAATGTATCACTCTTTTGAACACATATTGCTTTGAGAAGAAAAACGCTTTAGTATACAGTCCCCACACAACTTGCCGAACTACTTTCCTCAGCACCAAAACCGGCCAGTATCTCGGCTCACCGGACGCTTTCGGGGGGTAAGTCAGTGTTGATGCACAACACTGATGACGGGGATGACACACAGATTTATGTCAAAAAAACTGAACTATCCCTTTAACAGATTTACAAAATTTCATAATGTTTGTTCTGATTTTCTTTTTGATAAACATGGCTGTGCCTCTGAGCTCATATCGGCTCTTTCGGATTTTGAACATGTTCTGTAAAGATTTTGACAGGAGATTGTTGTTTTTGTTGAACATGATTTTCAGAGTATAAAAGTCGACTAAATCATAAAATTTCAGCGTTTGAAGGTTTATAAATAATGCATTGGTTGGTTCATTATAAGTTGATAATGTGATTGCTCTTATTGCCTTTTTTTGCAGGGTAAAGACTGGATTTGTATTAGTCTTATATGTATTGCCCCAAATCTCAATACCGTAGGTTATGTAGGGCATCACCAGCGAGTTATATATAATAAAAAGACTGTTTTTTATCTAGGGTATATCTATATTTATATATAATCGCAATCACTTTGGATAATTTGTTTCTAATTATCCAAAGTAGGACGATGCGCTGATTCGCTCACTCTCTCATGTGTCAGAACTGTATATTGCAGACCTACATGCAGATTGTAACAAGGTGACCAAAAAATAATAATCTCTTGCGACCCACTTGAGGATCACGACCCAGTCTTTGGAAAACACTGGTGTAGATCACAACAGAAAGAAGTATGGAGTAAGAAAGCTTTCAGAAATATTCATGTGCATAGAATAGAAATCTGTGCATATTTGGGAAATCCGTGCATATTTGGCTGTAGTTGCGCATAAAATAAATATTTGTAAATTCTCGAATGAGTCCAGTCGTACATAAAATATATTGTGTGTATTTTATCCATCAGAATACGAACTGAAAAGTTACGACGTCAAGAATTACAATCACAAAATGAAAATTTACGATTACGCTTTCATCAGTATGAATACGAATTCACAGACGGGATTTTACTGTCAAAAATACATCATCACTTCACAGGCATTATTTATCGAGGAGTAGAAACATCGATCAAGATCAAGATTGTGCATGCTTAAGTTTGTAGCAGAGGGTAAAAACAGAGTAATGGCACAACAAGGAGCTACAACAGCGACCAACAAGTGGGTTAATTCAAATTTATTGTAAAAATCTCTTGTCTTGCCACAATGAATTTGCGAACCAAACGCTGCCGTGTGATATTGTGTAGAAATACCTCCTCTGAACGGGAAATTGCACCTATATCTTAGTAGATAACTTAGTGGTAGCCAGTAGGCCAACATCAGCCGTAACGTTATCCCAGGACTAATTAGCAAATATTGGCGTTCTCTGCATGTTTAGATTAAAACATTCATGGATACAGCCACAGCGAGCAGTCAGTCCGTCTTAACCATCATCTCAGCTGCATTTCTCGCATGAAATGTGACCAAAAGTTCCGCGGGACGCTGAAATGTCCCTGTTTACACCAAACACTACTAAACTGTCCTGGATGGAGTGAATATGGGGCAGCCTCCAATGCCATCAATGGGAACCAGGAATCTGACTACCACACAGGGTCCTGTGCTGTGATAAAGTCATATACAAACCCCTGGTGGAGAGTGGACCTGCTGGAGTCCTACATCGTCACCTCCATCACCATCACAAACTGAGAGACTGGACGGGGCTGAGATCCATGTGGGCAACTCCTCACTCTATAATGGGGATTTTAATCCTGTGTAAGTGAAACTCCCTGGCTTAAGGCTGGTAATATGTCAAAAAGTTCATTCACAATATTTCCGCTTAATAAATCCAGAATGATATTTGTCTGTATTTTTATCCCTCATTTCACTTGTATCATCTGATGATTTCAGTTACACATGAGAAACGAAGGAGCTCATTGGTCACCTTTTATTTTGGATACAATGACATTTCTCTCACCTCAGATGAACAGAGTTTAGTGCATCGCTCTGAGCTAAAAAACAAGACAATGGAGAATGAGAACCCAGGAGAAAGGCTGTAACTATTTCTTACATGGTGTTTCTGAAAAACTATAGAGGATTTTCAGACAACATGAAATCCAAGTCTATTTCAAACCCACAAACACTTTAAGACAGAAACTCGTCCACCCAAAGGACAAAACACTGAGCCACAAACAAAACAATGTGATCTATTCCATTCACTAAACAAAACTAAACAGCCGCTTCATAAGAGGATGTACCAACACAGACGAGAGAGCAATAGTGGACCTCAGTCTTCTGTACTTCTCCACCTAAAAGTCTCTAACCACTCCTTTGAGGACAGTGAGGTACAGATCTTAGCCATAGAAAAGAAATGGTTTGAGAGGGGAGTTAAAGAAGCTATTTTTGTTAGGAAAGACAATCAATCTTTGAACAGAAATGGAGACCTCAGACATCATCTGTCTCCTATTTACAACTCCATCCTCAGACCTACATTAAAACAAAGAAAACAATAGTGATAGCCTGTATGCTAAGAGGTGTGAAAACAGCCATCAGGGGTTTGAACGATTATACTAATGGGTCTGGTCAAGTGGTAATGGAGGGAAACAGGGGCAGATTTTTTACATTCAAATGTCTCTTATTCAGAAACTAGAGGGACTATTGAAATAAGTAAAGTGTCAGAATGTAGGAAAGAGTTACACTCCAACAGGGTAAAGTTAAACCTGTGATATTCTTTCAAGTTGTTGACAAAAAATTGTTAAAAACTCATGTCGGTAACAGAGGGAATGAAATATGCAGCACTTTTTGGGCAATAAATCCAAACAGTGATAACTCTTGGTTCTCACTTCCATATCCTTAACAAACTGGTTTGAATATTTGCTTCATATAGTTTTCTACCATATGGTACAAGATTAGGTTGAAAAACCTTTTACTTTTTGAGTCATGAGATTTTTTATTAAGAAAGGTCATGGTAACGGAGGGAAAAGTAACGGAGGGAAAATTGTGCAACAAGTAGAAGGTGCAGGATTTTACATCATTTGTCAGCTTTTTTCTTCTGAATACTTTAATATTACTTCAAAATGAAAGGAAACTATTTCTATAAAAAATGTCAGTCCTTCCAAGCTAATTTTTAGCATTTTAAATACATAAAAAAAAAAAATCATGTACCTTCATCTACAGTTCAAGATGGAATAACACAAGATATGATGAAATACATCCATTTATTTGACATGATTTGCAGGTCTTGTGAAATTTGGGAAATAATTTTTGTTCCATGTTTCATACATGGTCTGTTTAAAACGTATGTAACTTTAGAACCAAAAAATGGTACAGAAAAAAGGTCAACAGTTTCATAAACTAGAATACATTTTTTTTTATTAACATATAATGTGTAAAGCACTTTGTGAAATAAAAACATAAAAACATGACTTATAAAACAGAAATTGATTTGATTGACACACATACATGCACATTAAACATCACAAAAGTACACACTGTACTATGCACACTTCAATATATAACAGATAAACTGAAAAGACATGTCTGATGAGCCAAATTAACATGAAAAAGTCATGTGATCAGTCAGACAGTAGCACAATAAATCTTATGTAAAAAATGTCATATAGTTACTTTTAGCAGTTTAATAATCACAAAATGTACACATCCAACCACTCACAACACTGTATTGTGTTGTCAGAACATCTAGTCGAGCACAGAGCCGTAAACCTCCACCTCACACACATGCAGGTACTCTGTCCGTCCTGGGATCACTATGTTAACGTACCGACCGTCCATCCCATCACAGTTAAACCCCTGAGTGAATCCTGGAGGAATATTTGTGATGACTGCACACCTGAGAACACAGAACAGGTCATATCTTTAGCATTTCAAATTTACTTAATGTTATAAACTCTACTACTAAATTCTACATTTCTTGTTATGTTAAAGGTCTTATATTACACAAAATTGACTCTAGTGAGCTTTAAATCATGTTAGAATGTTGTTACCTCATCAAACACATACCTGGAGTTGTGTTTTATTTCATTCAGATATGTTTGAGTAACTGTTCATTATGTGTCTGTTTATATCTCCAAAGCTCAAAATGCTCCGTTTCATCTTGTGATGTCATGAAGTGATAGTTTTTAACCTTCCTCTTGTGTTAGGGTTGCCACCGACCCGTTTTAGGTTTAAAATGTATAAAAGAACCATACATGGTTAGTTTATTGCATCAAGGCTTTTTGACTTTGTCAGGAATCTCTATTTCAACAAAATAATCAAAAAAAATTTTTTTTTCTTTAATTCTAAATTGCTCTGGTTAAAAATATACCCTTTGTGGTGTTGGGGTCGGTTTCGACCCAGTTATAAAAATTTGATTAAAAAGCAATAATTATAACCAAAACTGAAATCATAAATGCACTGTCAGCCAAAACAATGATAACCAGCTCCTCTTCCAATAATTAGAGCTTTGGGGGAGTCTCATTGTCTTGTTTTCCTGTTTACCTGCACACACACAGGCAGTGCTGGGAGTGGCATCCCTGAGAAAAAAACAAGGAAAACGTGTGGTCCTTGATTGGAATACTGGACTGCAGGGTCACAATATCACTTGTGACAACTTTTTTACCAGCTATGACCTTGGACAAGAGGTTCTTAGGAGGAAACTTACCATAGTGGGCATGGTAAAGAAAAATAAACCTGAGCTGCCTGCTGAAATCTCGCAGGTGAAAGGCAGGGCTTCACTTTCCTCAAGATTTACTTTTACAGACGCCACCACTGTTGTCTCCTACTGTCCAAAGAAAAATCTGAGTGTGGTACTTTTGTCTACTCTCCAAAAAGATGCAGCCATGTCATCAGGAAAGCCCACAATTATCCTCGACTATAACAAAAACAAAGGCGGATTGGACAACCTGGACAAGCTGAGTGTCACCTATACTTGCCAGCGAATGACCAGAAGATGGCCATGGTTGTGTTCAACAACATGGTTGATGTGTCTGTATATAATGCATTTGTGTTGTGGACCCACATCGACCAAGGGTGGAACTCAAACAAAAAATACAAGCAGAGAATTTTTCTTGAGGACCGGGGAAATTCAGGGCGCATGCTGAGCAAAGAGAGAGGGTGTCCTGAGAACCAGAAGGCCTTGAGGCCTTGGTCAGACAACTGTGGAGCTCCCCTAGCTCCATCCACGCCACAAAGACCATCCACACCAGCATCCTCCTCAGCCAGCCGTGCCTCAACACCAGCCACAACAACCACAGCCACAACCCCACTCAATTCACCTGACTGTAAAAGGAAGAGGTGTCAGGTTTGCCCAAGTAGTAATAGCAGTTGATAATGAATTTCTATTGTTAAAAATAATACCTTTTTAGCCTCTTTCTCATTGTAAATATATACGGGTCGAAATCGACCCGTAACACCATAGACGTTACTACAGTTAAGAACATCAAAATGAAAAAAAAATAAAACAAATTTATTTTAGAGATGTGTTCTAATACCCCTCAGTCAAAGTCAAGTAACACTAAAAAACGTTTATGTAGTTATATTATTCTGTTGAGGTTCATTTTACCATTTTCTTTGTACTGAAATAGAGGGGTATACTGACAAAAGTAGGAGCTGAAGCCCCCACCAAAAACATGAAAACCAACATTTTCATGGAAAAGGAAGCCTAACATGGTAACAAAGAGATGAGAAACAAATTTGATGATAGATAATTACTTTAAGTGTATTTTACAGCTGATTTAGAACACGGGTCAAAACCGACCCGTTAACACAATGTGATGGAAAGCTAACACAGGAGGAAGGTTAAGTTAAACAGCTACCTTTTACCTTTTGTATAGCCCTACAGCTCAGTTCTACATGTTGGCGTTCACCCCAGTGAACAAGAGGGTTGTGGCCTATGGGCCAAACAGTAGTACAGAGTACAAGGCCTTCTTGAAGTCCCTAGGAGGGGTACTAGACATTGCACTGAATTTGTTGTTCTACTGAGGGATTGGAGAGGGGTAATGGAGAAGAATGACCCTTCATCTGAACCCAAGCGGCATTCTGTTGTTGGACTTCTGTGCTAGTCATAGTTCATCCATAACAATCTCCATGTTCGAGCACAAGGGTGTCCATCAGTGCATGTGGCACCAGGACACTTTAGATCAGAGTTCATCTGACCTTCAGAATCTCATCAAGCCTTGTTGACTTGTGGGACTCCTGAAGCAAGCCAAGTGTGCTGCAGCTTGGACGGTCACAGGCTACATTTACACATAGCCGGGTATTTTGAGAAACAAATATTTCCTTCCCTCCGTTTTCCAAAATAACATCGTGTATACAGCATCGTTTTCAAAAAAGTTTTCGTTTACATAAACCTGCAAAAATACACCATCGAGCACCGTCAGAACTACACCAAACCTCTGAGTGGCACCTGGATTATTTCATTACAGTTGTAAGTATGACTCAAAAATACCTTGAAAAACGTGCATTACTGAGCGGGCTCGCCTCTCCACAAATATATTAAAGAAGTGGCAAAATCACTGATCTCTGAGAATGAGAACTTGATATGAGGCCCACAGTGTTAACGGGGAACAAAGATTCCTTTCGCAATTGGAGAAACATCGGGAACATTGGTCTGACCCTGTCCAGGTCCATATGGGATGGCGTCTGGACAGTATATCTATCTATCTATCTATATATATATATATATATATATATATATTATATATATATATATATATATATATATATATATATGTATATATATATATATATATATATATATATATATATATAATATATATATATATATATATTATATTTATTTAATTTTTTACTAAATTTTAGCCCCCTTAAAATTTTCCCTTTGAAGCTTTTTAGGGGGTGTGATGGGTTAATCGGAGGTGTCGGTTCCCCGCACCCCCAGTATTTCGCACACTGTCATCATCATCAAAAGGTAAATATTGTTCGCACTTTTTGGCACATCAGCTCCTTAAACTCTGTTTATCTCACTTTACATGCAAACGTGAAACCGGAGTTTTCCAGAATCTCCACTCGAGGCAGAGTTTTTAGAAAAATTCGTTTTCAGAGGCAAATTTGCCGTTTGCGTGTAAAAGATGTGTACAAACGAAGGGAAATGTTTCGATTTTTAAAAAATACCCGTGTACATGGCACAAAACGGGTCAGGCTGTTTTGTTGTTTTGTTGATTTACCTTTACGTTCCTTACTTCATTTATTCCATTTAACATCTTTTTTATTGCTACTTCCCTCACTCCAAGCGAGCTGGGTCGTTACAGTCTATAAGTCAGTACTTTGAGGATCCCCTCAGTCCCCTCACATCACGTCTTCCAAGGAGGAAGTAGAGTCTGGGGACTCGGTGACTGACTCATCCATCACTCTGACTAAAGTTACTGTGATGCTTAAAGCTCCTCTGAGGCTCTGGGGGTAGAAGAAATCTGTCCTGAGTATCTTAAGTCTCTGGATGTTGTAGGACTGTCTTGGCTGACATGTCTCTGCAACATTGTGTGGCGTTTGGGGGACAGTTGCTGAACACTGGACCAGCTCTATACTCTCCATCTAGAGCTCGAGGATGCATGGGAGTTTGGATGGATGTGTGTCTTCAGTTTCATTTGATCTATGACACCCGTAGATCATTGTTTTATATTTTGGACATGAATGGCTACGTGACACTGCTGAATCCATGTACACTTAGACAAATGTTAAATTAGCTTACCTTGGGTTGTTGTTGCCATTGTTTTCAAGGGAATCTCCAATGCGAATCTCTGCTCCATCCAGTCTTGTGGAAGCCTCTATTACGTTGGTGACATTCACAGTGAAAATCCTGTGTGTTTTCCTCAAGTCCAGTCTCAACCAGGGGTTTAAGTTGTTATCGGTGTGTGAGCATGTACTCCAGTCTGTGTTACGGTTTCCATCTATAGCGTTGTATGCTATGAGATTGCCATGGAGTGATGATTGTGTAGCTTTTCCCTGGAGGGCCAGATTTTCTCCTGCAAAAAAGAAACACAATGAATGTGATGATTGTCTGCAGTTAGGAGCCATGTGTAATGCTGGGTTTGTGGGGACAGAGCGTTCTATAGGACAACATTAATTAATACAGATGGGGGCAGCTAAAATTTTAATTGTTAAAATATTATGTTGTAATACAGTGACTTTTAGGGTTTATGCACTAATAAAATACTAGGTTCAACATTTGTGAGTTTACCTTTTGGATATTTCATGGCAAAGTACAATGTAATCAATAGGGAAATCTGACCACTTGCCCCCCATTTGGGAGTATGACATCGTCACATTCTAGAACCTAAAAACTACTACAAAACCTGTCAAAGAATAAAAAAAAACCCTAAAAATATAAAATTAAAACAAATCAAAACAAACTAAACAAAAAAAAAAGGTCTTGTTTACGCCGTTTTCACTTCTTAAAGATGCACTGTTACTTTTCCAGTGGAGGTTCTGCCATCTGCTCGTCTCCATGAAGATGTTTGCTCTGGCATGTTCTGCTATGGCATTAAACATATCCATCTGGCTTTTACTCAGAAACATGGGTTTTTATTGACTTAAAAACTTGCATTCTTACTGTGAATGGGCTCGCCTGTACAGACTAGAATAGGAATAGGATTTTTTTAATGAGCACGACAGAGGTAAAAAAAAACAAGATCATGGAGAGCAGGTCAATACAAGCAGTTACAGAGATAGGGCCCACAATATTCCAATGTAAGTCAATGGGAGCCAGAGTCAGTAGGAGATAGAAACGCCACATGCGAACTTAATATTTGGAACACGGCGACTAGCACATTAGATAAAGTTACCAGAAAAGTTACACAGTGCACCTTTAACCTTTTTGCAATCTGAATAATAAATCTGACCGGTTGGTGCACGGTATCCATAGACCTCCACTTCACAGATGGTCAGGAGCCTGTTGATTCCTGGTAGAACCACAGAGACATATCGGCCCTCCAC